CGGTCGAAAAAGAGAAAACTAACAATACGAAAGTTATCAAATGTATTGCCGGCATTTTTAATTAATTAGTTTAATAATTTTGAGCGATTTGTCAACAATACAATTTCGCTTGTCTTTGAAAGACCATAAATCGCTAGAATACTGTTGTTTAGTAATGCATTTGGCATTTGTGAGTATAATTTCTTATGCTGAATCGAACGGTGGTATTTTTGTCCTTATAGGGCGCATAAAACCAGAGATAAGGCGCAGCAAAAAGTCGATCGTGAGAGTCCGAGATTATTCGAAAGAAAACGTTCCTCGAAAAAAGGAATTCGGAAAACGTGAAGGATTATTTTGAGCGGCTTGTCTTTCAAAGCCATAAATCGCAAGAATAGAAATCAATTTTGAAATCAATTTTCCATCTGTAAATACATGTTTTCACGCTGATTCGAACAGTAGTATTTTTGTCCTTGTTAGACGCATAAAACCAGAGATAAAGCCTAGGCAAGTAGTCAGGGGCGTGGCGAACGATTCCAGATTGGGGGGGGAGGCGTCATACCATAATGACCAGCTGTTTCAATGAAAATGACCAACTTTTCAAAGTTCCCCCCAAGCCCCCCCCTAGTCGCCACGCCCCTGCAAGTGGTCGATCTTGAGAGCGCAAATTCCGAGCACGTGCAAGGAATTTTTAGTAGGTGATTAAGGTAATTCCGCAGTTTTGCATTGCGCATTTTTACTGCGCACATCTTATAACTTATAATTTCATCCATTAATACGTACTGTTAAAAAAACATTTTATGACCATTTTATGTTACTTCAAAACATCTTTGGTTACATTCGTGCAAAGAATTACGTTAAAATCAATGTTTTCAAAAAAAGCATACAAAAGTGTAGCTAGGGTCCTGTGTCTGTAGTATATTTATTTACTTGTATTTCACGTTTTAATGCCACAATTCCCTAAAAAGGTCGGTGACCCCCGTTTTTTAACTGATAATTTATTTCTTTAATGCATTTTACATTTCATATCCGAAATTAAAAGAAAAATCATTTCTGGATCTTGAAAAAAAATCCTTTATCAATGCATGTTCTCAACTGAAAGATATCTGTATAATATTTAACATAATTTGGAAATTATTTAGTCACGTTCATGTAAATGAAGAACAAAAAAAAGAGCCGTGGCATATACAGGTGTAATTTTATTGTTGAGTTATTTTTTCATCATTCTTGGATACAAAACATAATCTAATTTAGTCGATATTTAATGAAAAATATTCTAAAATTGTTTTACCTGATTTAGTGATAGTAATCTTGATTGCTTGCGCGGCATAAATTTTGTATAATATTACGTCCCTTATACAACATAGTGGATTCGATATAGGACACATAGCTGCACCTTAAAAAAATATCGTGGCAAAACATATAATTTTTTAACGAAAAAATCAATCTAATTTTGCAACTTTAACACAACTTGTTTGTCTTAATGTTTATTGAAACATATATCATAGATAATGTAAGTTATATATGCTAAACTTTGTTGACAGCACTCTATAAATTGTTTGCAGTATTTTGCAGGAACAAAAGGCTTAAAATAAACTGTTTCATTGTTCCTATATACACGCAACTTTGCTTAACAAAATGCTTCAACGTGATCACTCAACTTTAACGCTATGTGAATGAGCAAACTCGATAAAAACGGATAAATATGCAACCGATTATTAATCATCAATTCTATTTCAGAACCATCCTCAGCTAGAGATATGAAAAACTTGTTTCATATATTATATTCTGACACTGCAGATAACTATAGGGATTGGAACTTATACAGTGGACCGCCGTTCTACCTATTGCGCTATCGAGTCAACGGTGATTGGTAGAGAGTCTTATCCAGTTTAGTGCACTAAATATTTTCGCGAATTATTTAATCGTTTTCAGTTCTTTTAACATCGGCGCAACGTCTAAACATGCACAGTTCAATGCAGTTGACTTTTATAATCTGAAAGAATATTTTACTCTGCTAATTAAAGAAACACATTAAAATAATGGTAGCATAAAATTTTACTCCCTTAGAATGGACCATTTACATTATAGACTAAATTTTGATCTAGACAAAAATTTCATCACAACTTGAAAGAGCACTTCACAAAATTAGTAATATTCCAAAGTTTTGTTGCGAAATGTTTGTAAAATGCGGATAATATAGCTATGCGAAGTTTGCCGTTTTTCAGTCATTTTGTATTACGCACGGGAAATTGACAGCCCAGTCGGGTGTTGGGGCATCAATTTCTCGTTTGTAATACAAAATGACTGAAAATTGCAAGTTTCGCAAGACTATATTATCCGCATTTTACAACATTTCGCAACGAAACTTTGGAATATTACTAATTTTGTGATGCTCTTTCAAGCTTTGTCTAGATCAAAATTTAGTCTATAATGCAAATGGTCCATTGTGAAGATGCATTACCAGAAATTGCATCGCAGTTTTATATTCTGTACATTCAGATAATTTCGAACGGTTGGTGCCAGTGTAGGTATAGAAATTACCAGGGCCTCTTTATAAAAATTGTTAATGGAGGGGAAATTAATAGAAAGGGACCCAACTAGGAGATGGTGACGGGAAAAGTGGGAACTTGTCCGGCCCAGAAAAACTTTGCATTTTTAAGTGTCTGGGGCTTGATTTTCGGATTTTTAGACACAATTTTTTATCTATTTTGTCCGCTAGACAAAGATTTGGTCATGGAAATACCAAAATACTCTTCTTAGTAACAAATCCAACTTCTAAAATTAACACAGTCGTGCTGCACACGTAAAAACGCACACACAAGTTAATGCTATAAGTTATGGCTTACTGTATTTTGCGAAACGAAACTTTGCGAAACGAAACTTTGCGAAACTGTATTTTGCGAAACTGTATTTTGCGAAACTGCATTTTGCGAAACTGTATTTTGCGAAACTGTATTTTGCGAAACTGTATTTTGTCATGATTCTGCTAGTAGAGTTGGCAAACATTTGTTTATAAAGACTGAAAATAAATCAAAGACAAAGTGCAGTATGTTGCTTTGAATGCTTTCACATATTGATTTTGAAAGAAAATATAGCGACATCACCATACAGATTATAAATAACACTAGAGAGTAGAGGGGGCATCGTAATCTTAATTCAGTCAAAGAAAGGGAACGTGTCTATTCAGTATTGGGGGTCAAAAAATTAAAATGCTAAAATATAAGAGAGAGTTTGAGCCAATATGTCTAAATTCTTGTTTATGATAGTTAACTGAGTTCTGTTTTGTTTTTTACCAAGCATTTTTACCACAATTTTGTTTATAACACATTTCAAACAGTGTTCCAAATAATGCTGATGTCAGTACTTTTGATATTTTCAAGAGAAATTAATTGTTTGAATTAAAAATTTGGGGGGAATGTTTGTAATGACATTCAAAGCATATAAAACACCCAGTTTTGTGACTCTTGTTTTAAATTTTTCTGGTTTCAAGTGCAACCCAAGACTTGTGTGGTGTTTATTTGTGATTTCAATTTCCCCACTGCCCCCCATTACCGCGCTCCCAAATTTCACCCGATTCCCCCTCTATCGTTATTTATAATCTCTATGGACACCACAGCCATGACGTATAGATCAGTGAACAACAGAAACGTTTGATGTTGTGAAAATGGCGAAATTGCAACTACATCAAATGTTTCTGAATTCTGTTGCTCACTGATTTATACATCATGACTGTGGTGTCCATAGAGATTATAAATAACGGTAGAGGGAGCATCGAGGGTGAAATTTGAGAGCGCGGTAATGGGGGGGGGGATTGAAATCACGAATAAACACCACACAACTCTTGGGTTGCACTTGAAACCAGAAAAATTTAAAACAAGAGTCACAAAACTGGGTGTTTTATATGCTTTGCATGCCATTATTACAAACATTCCCCCAAAATTTTGAATTCAAACAATTAATTTCTCTTGAAAATATTAAAATTACTGACACAGCATTATTTTGGAACACTGTTTGAAATGTGTTATAAACAAAATTGTGGTAAAAATGCTTGGTAAAAATGAAAACAGAACTCAGTTAACTACCATAAACAAGAATTTAGATATATTGGCTCAAACTCTCTCTTATTTTAGCATTTTAATTGTTTGCCCCCCAATAGACACGTTCCCTTTCTTTGACTGAATTAAGATTACGATGCCCCTTCTAGTGTTATTTATTATCTCTATGGTGGTGTCGCCATATTTTCTTTCAAAATCAATCCACACCATTTTATATGTACATGTATAAAGTTCCATGTGAAAGCATTCAAAGCAACGTACTGCACTTTGTCTTTGATGATTTAGTCTTTATAAACAAACGTTTGCCAACTCTACTAGCAGAATCATGACAAAATACAGTTTCGCAAAATACAGTTTCGCAAAATGCAGTTTCGCAAAATACAGTTTCGCAAAATACAGTTTCGCAAAATACAGTTTCGCAAAGTTTCGTTTCGCAAAGTTTCGTTTCGCAAAGTTTCGTTTCGCAAAGTTTCGTTTCGCAAAATACAGTAAGCCATAAGTTATTTGTTCGTTGCAATTAGCTGTTGACAAGTTGTGTTCGCACTAGCTTGTTCGGCAGTTGTTCCAATGTTCCTATAGATGTTGTAACAAGTTTAGAACAAGCTGTCAACAACTTGTAACAAGCTTGATGGCATTATCAGACTTGTTACGAAGTTGTTCCAACAAGTTCGATATACAGTCATGATTTAACAAGAATATTACAAGGTTGACAACACAAGGTTGTAACAGTATTGTTATATCATGACGTATATCGGATTTGTTGGAACAACCTTGCAACATGTCTGATAATATCAACGGGGTTGCTACAAGTTGTTAACAGCTTATTCCAAACTTGTTGACAGCTTGGGACAAGCTAGCAGTGCATACGAACACAATTTGTTGACGGTTTGTTGGCACGACTGGGTACAAGATGTGAGATTTTTGCGTGTGTGTTTTACAGAATTTGAAGAAGAAATAAAAGGAATAATGGGCTCTGTCATCAAGTTTCTTTCACTTCTCATGGTTGTCTTGGCGAATGTCGTAAACACGACAGAGGTCGTCAAGGAATACGGTAAGTTCTACAGTAAATAAACACTCATTGAATGTATATTGAAAAAAGGTCAACATTTCCGAATATAAATAAAAAAGGTCAATTTAATAGTCAATATTCGAATGCAGCCGAAAATGGTGAAATGGTAAAAATGGACGACTTTACTTCAAAAAAGGCGCCATTTTACAGAAAATTGGACAACTTCAAGCATTTAAATGTAATAATCTGTGTTTCTGTTTGTGGAAACACCACGTAAGCTTTGCAGTAATAAATTTACGTGGTGTTTCCACAAACAAAAACAATTATATTTTATCGCCATGCAAACATTCAAAGAACTTAATCTGTGTTTCAATGAAAAAAATGGTCAACTTTATTATATATTCTAAAAAAAAGCTCCATGTCCTACGGAAAGTTGGAAAACCTCAATCACTTAACTCTTTCTGCTGATACTTTGCGCTTCAATTGTTTTTAATAATGTAACTGAATATCTCAGCAAGCATTTACCCCCCCAGCTTTTAGAACGACATACACACACCGTTGAAATCCTCATACATAAACCAAAATATATGGAACATTTACTCACCCTTTGCCAATTTTCTGTTATTTCATTTGTAAATGTAATATTGTATGTTTCAGATGACCCAGCATCCACTGCATATGAGGAACTTAGAAAGGATTATAGAAAGTTTGAATTTGCGATCATAAAGGCGAACTTTGGTCGTCCCTTTGGAAGTGGGAGTTATTTTTTCTTGAAACAGAACGAAAAATCTTGTGTGAAAAGCTGTAATGAAACTAGAAATGCTCCACACTTCTTCTGTCATTGTGATAGATTATGCCCACTTTATCAAGACTGTTGTGTTGATTACTGGCCAAGGTAAGTTTAAAGTTATCGTGTTCGTGATATCAGAGAAAATTGCTAAAAATCACAGGAACCACTGGGTGGGGGGGGGGGGAAGCCTAGACTGGTGACATTTACATTTATATAACTGACACACATTAGTTTGAAGTCATACAGTGAAGCTAAACGGAACAACATATTAGTACAAATTTACAAGTACATATTCCGAGCAGTACTACTAGATGAAAGAATACCACTATGTCTATAGTTAACAATATGATTGATTTGACTATAAGTTATTAAGAGCCAAATATCATTGATGCTGTAAAATTGACGCAATATTTATACAGCAATATAAGGAAAACTTACTGAACTTCAGACATCATTTTCTCTTTGGCGTACCGTCTAAAATTTCTTCATTTTAGCATAATTTTATTGATAATGCACTAATTATATAAAACATACTTTTTAAATTTGTTTGCCGCTTGAGAAACGCATCAAAAACTAAAAACCTTGAATATAGTCATAACCAAGTGGCCTATATATACTTTCCCACTTCAAATGGGAAACTATCTCAATTTATTGCCGTTAACTGCTGTTATTTTGTTCCTACAGTTGCAACGTAACTACCAAACCATTCAATCGGCGGGCACAAGAACTTTGGGACTGTGTGGATGCTAAATTCAGGCAAGCAAAAAACAACAGAAGCCTGGCACCCATTGCATATATGATGATAAGCCGTTGCCCGGGAACGAAGATAACAGACATTCAGAGTTCACGAAATTGCATCAGACCTGAGACCAACCGTACGGATATTTCCGAACGCATTCCGGTGACTGGAGAAGATGGAAAAACATATAGAAACGCATATTGTGCCAAGTGTCACGGGATTACTAATATCACTCATTGGGGTCTAATGGTAGTATGCTTTGATCCGGTAAAGAACGGAACTAATCTCGCATACGGAAGTGCTTACCTGTGGGAGAATTGTACCTGGTACGTATCCCCGGGGAATGAAAGTACTCTGTCAGCAAGTACTTGTAGACAGTCGACTCTGTGCGAATCTACGGTCAACACGACAGAGTCGTTGAAATACAATGATCTTGTGAACAAATGCAAAGCTTATTCTCATTTGCTTGAGGTGGACGATGCACTGTATAAGAATTTTCACTGTGCTTTATGTAATGGAAAAAGCGTCAAGAAATTCAGGAAACCGAATGTGAATGTTAAAACGGCTTCACTGTCGCTATTTTTCGATTACAAGTCGCTTTCACGAGGGTCTGACGACGAGGACGCTGAAGTTACGAGGGTTGGGGAGAGCTCTGATGAAGTCATTCAGGGTTATCTCACTATGATTGGTCTATCGTTATCAATCACATGCCTATTAGCAGTCGTGATGACGTACATCCGGTTTACAACATTGAGAACAGTCCCAGGCCTCGTATTGATCGCATTGTCGCTATCACTCCTGGCATATCAAGGCCTCCTATTGGCTAGCCCATATGTGACGTCAGGAACTCCAGGATGTAAAGCTATGGCAGTGTCGTTACATTTGATGATCCTCTCTTCTTTTGCATGGATGACAGTTATGAGTTATGATGTGTCCAAGACATTTTCTCGAAAAGGTGGGGTATATTATTTTGCTATCATTATTTACAACCTGCCACTGATGAGTTTAATAATCCTGAACAATTTTTTTAAAAAATCCGTATTCTTTTGCCCTAAACAACGATATCCCAAACTAAAATATTTCTATTTATTTTCATTTATAATTAAACGGCTTCGCCTGGAGGCTAAAAATTAACGTTGCCTATGTACATGTAAATATAAAAGACAAACATAGGAAAAAGCAAAAGAACAGCACAGCAGTTAATACCAAATACTGTAGGCCCTTAATCAATTAATAAAACAAGTTTACATAAAATAATAATTAAGTTTAAATAAATTAAGCACACACATATACAGTTATATCAACACTCGTCGAAATTGGGAAAACTCGAAATTGTGTGAAAACATTCCGCCCTTCGGGCGTCGTGTTTCCACACAATTTCTCGTTTTCCCAATTCCCACTCATGTTTTATATTTGTCAATTATTAGTATTCTTTATATAAAGAATACCAATGAGGACACGACCACAATAGATACTGCCTTATTAGCATTCTTTATATAAAGAATACTAATTAGGAGTGTTTTATCAGGTTTAAAGTCACTGCACGTTACATATTATGGTTGACATGATTTGCCAATAAGCTTATGAATTACTGATGAGTGTTTGAAGCATAAATAATCCTTATCCCTTCTCTGAAACTCCCAAGGCCAAGTAATCCATAATCCTAAATTAAACCCTAACAGGGCCTTAAACAATTCACCTCCACTTCGGTGATTAATTGTTAAATATCACAACTTTTGTTGTTAGTCACCCCTGCTTTCGTCAAGGTTTCGTGACTACACATCCTAACTCTTACTTGACAGTCGCAAAGTTGATTCATAACTCATTTCTGTTCTTCATTCAGGCAAGAGTAAGTCAAACCGTTCTGCTTTCCACCGTTATGTTATCTTCGCCACGTCCATCTCCGGTGGGATTGTGGCATTGACGTTCACACTTGGAGAAACAAACGTCGTCGACGTTGGATATGGTAAGTGAAAATTATTATCCAAAAACGATAAAAGATCTCTTATTATGGACCTTGAGATTATAGATGATAGAAAGATTTATCAGATAGAAAGTCTGTTATTTGTGTGGAAATGGCGCGTTACATTACACTTTTAAAATCCAAGAATAGATGATATAATTATACGATTATACGAATAAAATCAATTGCAAGGAACGAGACAGGGAAGCAATAAAGGAATGAGATAATATCGAAGGCGAATGAAAATCTTGAAAATAAAGAATGAACGAGAAGAAGTATGGAGAAAAAAGGCTACTCATGCAGTAGAAAGGTAAACGAAAGAAGGTAAAAAGTGGAAAGGTATGTAATGCGTACAAAAAGGGAGAAACTGCATAAGTTTATAGGAGGAATTAACTGCGAGGAAATTCCCAACGAAACTTAGAAAGTTTTTCTCATATTTTTCAAAGGTGAATCAACGTCGTGTTGGATTGGCAAGCAGCTAGCTTTGATATTATTCTTCTACATCCCAGTGGCAATCATGCTGCTCTTCAACGCTGTGTCCTTAATATGGACCATATTCAGTATTCGTAATGTCACCAAGGTAAATTAGAATTCTGGGTTATTTTTTCTGCAGATAAGCCGGCTATGTTGGCAATTAGCCTTTCTCACGGCCGATTTTCCCGCCATTTTTGGGGCATTGCCTCTCCCACGTTTGAGAGTCTCCGCAGCACGAAATACACCTTTTTAGTATTCTAGTTGTTTGTATAATGGTAAATTTACAGTTACAACTTTTAAGGGTCGCTTTTCACGTTGTTTGAATTGTTTTGAATCTTTCACGAGGGTAGACAACACCCCAAAGATGGCGGATTTTAGGCAGTAACTCGCCGCGAGATAAGGCAATTTAAGCCGAGTTTAGATCCCAAAGTAGGCCAGCTGATTTTGTCCTTCCTGCAAAAGGCTAATTGTTAGAGACCGTTCATTATTTATGCCTCAGGGGGGCACCGAAAAGAAATAAAAATTGGCTACTTTTTTTAATTACCCAACCATTTTCGAAGTATAATTTTCTTTTACCCAACCCTTATGCAACTCAAGATTTGTATGTATGGTTATAAACAGCTTGTTTTTGATATATAAACTACTTGTTTGATACATACACATGAACATTGAATTCCAAAACTATTTTTACTCAAGTAAAAAAAAATTGAAAAATTCAAATAAAGGACACATACCAGAGGGTTCCTATTCAGTAAAGGCTAATTTCCAAGACCAAGCAATTCGACCAGAGGCAGGGCCACCGAAAGGGGGAGGGGCAGGGGGGGCAAATTAACCCGAGCCCCGAGGGCCCCTAGAAATTTAATGTTAGAAATTTAATGGGCCACAGTCATTTTTTCGGGCGAAATATTTCTGTTTTCGGGCCAAAATATTTCTGTTTTGTGGGCAATGAACCGAAATTTAGTATGGAAAATTGCGGAAAAGTCCAACGAAAGCAATTATAACGCACCTAAAAAGAATTTATTGTCCGAAAAAATTTTTTCCGGAAAATTTTTTTGCAATAGGGGCCCCTAAAAAATGTTTTGCCCCGGGCCCCCGCCAAGCTCTCGGCGGCCTTGACCAGAGGCTTCGGTTGTGACAATGAGCCCGTCTGACTCTGGCAACAGTTCCTCGCCATTTTAAATGATGTTACGGAGGAGATATACGAGTCCGCATTCACACATAAACAGTTCCTGACATACCTAAATGGGCAAAGGCAATTTAGATGGGATACAAAGAAAAGAAATGAAAAGTTACAGTATGTGGTCAAGTCATATGAGGAAGGGGTTCTTCCAAAAGAGAATATATCTGTTGGGAAATACAAAACAATACCAGATAATCTATCATTAAGGGATGTTAGTTTTGCTAACAGGGTAGATAGTCACATTAAAACTTCAAGGTAAGCTGCTGAGGGGCTTCTGGAGCAACTGCAAAACAGGAAAGTCGAGCTTTTTGACAGCCACATGGAGCTGGAGAAGTGGGCAGAAGTATCTGAGTTAAAGTCCAAAGTAACTATGATTGGGGACGATGTTGCAAATACCGCTAAACAGCTCAACAAACGATATTCTAGTGCAGATCTCTCTAATTTTGAATCAAAAAGGAAACGACGGCGAGTGAAAGAGCAAAAATGTAAGAACAGGAAAAAGTCAAAGATAATGTCAGTTCGAAAGGCCCAGGATTTGCTTGAAAGGAGTGGTTTCGCCAATGATGTCATTGAGAACATTTGCCCAACTCAATATGGAGAGAGGGGAAGAACAGTTATTAGTTTTGAAGAACTGGTAACAGTAATTAGTTTTGAAGAACTTGTACTTAAAATATAGCCTATTGGTGCATTACAAGACTCAGCAGATGCTGTACTGTCAGTGCAACAGACAGTAGCAACTCTGACTCATCGGACTCGGATGAAAATTAGAGATTCAGATACTGTACATCAGACCTGAAGTTTATTTCCAACTAGTGAACAAGATATTGTTTAAACATATGTTTATATAGTTTTATAAAACGATTTTTCGCTGTTGCTTTACAGTTTTACCCACCCGTTCTGAACCAGATCAATTTTTCCTTTACCCACCATTTCTACATACCAAATTATTGGTTACTCACCCCATTTCTCTTCGGTGCCCCCCTGAGGCATAAATAATGAATGGTCCCTTAGTTGTTCTTGGTGGCAGATCCAAAGCATTGCCAATGGATTTTTCTTATCTATAATATAGTTTCAACACTCTGGACGTTGCTACAACACCAAAATGGTGTAGAATCATCACAGCTCTGTAGAAGACACCCATTTAATGTAAATGATAACACCATTTTTGTGTTAGTGAACACCAAATTTACACGCGATAAGTGTATTGAAACACCTGCTGGGTATACTAATGCCACCATTGATGAGTAAATATGGTGTTATCATTTACACTAAATCATCCCCAGAGCTGCAATTATAATTTCGGTGTTGTACCAACACCGAGAAATTTAGAGTAAATAGAAGTCCAGTATCTGTCGGATCTTTATAACTATAAATTCCACTTCAAGGTTTGTTTAGACTCTGCATACCTATACATAATCGATGTATTTATATATTTTAATAGTTATTATATATATATATATATATATGGCTTAATGTTCTTTACTTTAACTTTTCAGCTAACAAAAGGTGTTCAAAAATCAGTGAATTCCGACAGTCGAAGCCAAAATGCGAAAATATACAGTAAGCTCTCAACCGTAATGGGCGTTACTTGGTTCCTGGGTTTTGGTGCTGCTCATAACACCATAGTTGCCTACCTATATATCATTGTCAACAGTCTACAAGGTACATAAACTTGTCACAGTTGTATTTTATTATGCCCATGCAGCCAGTTCTCACAATCTAGTCATGTTTATCGTATTCAATAAGGGGTGAACCATCAGATATCCTGGGATTTTCCGTGCAAGATTTTTTAAGTTCGCAGCTTTGTCGAACTTTTAATTTTACAAGCTTTGTCACAACAAGAATACATGACAACAACAAGAATACATGATATATACATATATATATATATATATATACATATATATATATATATATACATATATATATATATATATATATATATACATATATATATATACATATATATATACATATAGGCCTATATATATATACATATATATATACATATATATATACATATATATATACATATATACATATATATATATATATGTTTAAATCTTTTCTGTCAAGAACATACGTACAGTTATTAGAAATATATATATATATATATATATATATATATATATATATATATATATATATATATATATATATATATATATATATATATATATATATATATAAACAACATGCAATAGGTTTGGTTAGGTCCCGGTTACATTCAGGCAAATTGTTTTCCACGACCGAGAATCATCCACATTATAATTCTTATCTATATAATGCGGTATAGTAATATTTATAATTAGAAGATTTTTAAAGGTTATTAGAGAGTTAGATTTATCGGTTAATGATCACGGTAATATGTTCCATTTTCTTGTTGTTCTTATCGTATAAGTCTGTTGTTAGGTAGAGGTTTTACATTTCTTAACTTGGAAGTTTGTAATTCGCGAGTTTTCAATATGTTTGGGAACAACTGCATTCGAGAGGCACATGCATGATACCGCAATTTGCCTTGTAGAAAAATAACATGTCTAGATATTCATGCCAATAACTTAGAGGTAGCTGCTTTCACAAAGGAAAGGTAGATCTAAAGTGTATTTGGAAGCACGTCTTTGAACGCGTTCTATATAAGTTCTTTGTATACGCGTTCAACTTTTTGAGGTGTAGAAGCTGTGAATAAATATTTTTAATAATTTTCTGTATTTGTCATGTACGTAACAACGCACAAGTTGTAACAAACCTGCAGCAGACTTGTATAGTAATGCTGTTCCAACAACTTGTCAACAGGATGTGTTCGCACTGCTTGTTCCAAGCTTGTTGACAAGCTGTCAACGGCTTGTTGGCAACTTGCTACAAGGTCGTTGAGCTCAACAAACGTATTACCAAATGTACATAAATTTGTTGATCGAGGGTCTGGACGAGGTTAACCGACTATAAACGTTTCCCCTCTTTTGACTGATAGCTCGTGGCAACCATCTTAGTTAACAGCTGATGAATGACAGCTAAACTATTTCTACATTTGAAACAGGAGTTTTCATCTTCTTCGCGTTTGTCTTAAACGAGCGAACAATAAGCATGTGGCGGAACACAGCATCAACACGAAGTGGACGTAGGTCGATCGTAGTTCAACAAACACAAGACAAACGCGAGTCTCGACGTTCATCAAAGGCATGCAAAGCTACAACTGGACGTTATGCATCAACCATTCAACCGAATTACAACAAGGAGGAACAAAACGAGACGGGCTTTACTAACCCCACACAATCAACCAATCAGTGAATAGAAAGTGGGAGAATTTGGTCAAATTCTCTCCAGGATGCTTCAACTTAAATCTGTCAACAGTTTTTAAGGAGCAGCCATCTTTGATCCCTCAGATAACTTCATTGGGACTTTATTTGTAACATAATTAAAAACATTTAATTATACGTAACACTATAGTTTATATAGTTGAAGAACCTTACATGTAACTCAAACTTTTAAAAGGAATAAAAGCATATAACAATTCTACGAAATAGTTCTAATAAAGCATGGGAAAAAGTAGGAAAAGCATTTAGTAAAATTTGGGGCAAATTAGGATATTATAAAGAAGTAGGAAGGGTTGCCAGAAGTCACTGGAAAATTTGAAACACTTCCATACTACGGAAATTGTATAAATATTACCTAAAAAAGTTTGGAAATTCAACTTCCAAAGTTTTGCACACTTCCATAGCATGGAAATATTCCAGAAAAAAGCATGAACATTTTCTAGAAAAATACGGAAATTTTCCGCTGGAAATGGTTCAAATTTTCCAGCGAGTCTTGTAAAGTATGCAAGGATAAAATCTTCTCCACAATCGGATTCTCTGACAGGGAGGCACGTACAAAGGTGTACTGGCAAAAGGATGGGGGAGGGTGGGGGGGGGGAGGGGAGTGAATTATCTAATAATCCACACCTTAATCTCGTACCCAGAGCAATGCCTGTGTGCGGGCTAGGATGGCATTGGCTCTGGGGAAATTGACAACCGGAACCCCTAAATTTAGGGGTTCCGGTTCTTTGTCTGCATGTACGATTGATAAACGTTAAACCAATCACAGCACAGGAAAAATTCAATTTCCCCAGAGCCAATGCCATCCTAGCCCGCGCACAGGCATTGCTCTGGGTACGAGATTGTCCACACCTTTGATACACATCATTCATATATAATCAACAAGATGGACTGCCCAACTAAATTTCCCAACTCTATGAGCAGAAATTTACCATTTTCATCATGGGGGGGGGGGTAGGGGGGGGTGTTCACCTACCTATCTATGGGTAGGTAGGCAGGCAGGTAGGCAGGCAGTTGTTCATTAACAAAAGTTGAACTGGCTGGTAATAGATCACATATGGATTGAAGATATTAAATGAAGCTAATCAATCAATAAATAAACAACAGATTAATTAATAGAGGATATTAAAACAAACTACAAACAGTACATACTCATGAACAGGTAGTGATGGGCCAATACCGATACCAAATATTTGATACTGTTGATACGAAGGTGTGAAAGAAAAGTATCAATACTGTCAAAAATATTGATTAAAAGAAGTCCGTGAAGGTAACAAATCATTTACAATTTTAATCTCATTGATTAAGTATTTATAAATATGTACTTCATTTTCTAAAAAGTCACATACTGATCTATAATTTATGATACTGTGTTCACATATATCCATATATCGCTGAAATATCGATATTGAAAAAAAACCAAATATCAAAGCAGTATCGCCCATCACTATCAACAGGTTAATAAATCAGTCCTATTATACATCTACATGAATATCTGTAGTCTCCTGTTTGTCATGAATATCTCCATGAGGTACGCTATTACATGACAGACTACTATAATTTCATTATATAATTATAAATCGTTGTTGGTCATTTCACTATATACATAATTGAACTACTATATCACATCCTTCAAAAGCCACCATACACGCTCTCGTCGCTATATGCTATATAGAGAAAGAAGTCCTCTTCATGGTGCTCCTGATATAACTGGCCCATGGTAGCACTTGTCGGTGGAATGACGTTATTTACAAAGAAAAACAATGCATCTTCTGGTCGAAGGTGGATACGTTTTCGAATGAGGAAATAAAATTGACCAACTGAAATATATTTAAGGTAAAGTAATCTGATTATAATAAAAACACATTGAATGCCCAGGGTGTTAGCCAGAAGTAAAAAAAAATCCGCGTTTACCTGAAATTGGGAAATTTATTTTAAAATTTTTTCTCGGAAAAACTTTTTTTGGGCGACCTCCCCCCCGTCGCCAAAAAAATTTCGCTCAGTGTACCATTTTAGCGGTCCAAAAAATTTTTCCGGACATATCAAAATTTTTCACGACAATTTTTTGTGTCTTTGAAATGGCATTTCCCACATTTTGAGCAAATGTAGTTATAAATATGTTTTTAATGGCATATTAACAACATATTGACGGCAAGATGGACAGCAAGATACGGTACTGGTCTATTGTCAGATGTGAAAAAAATAATTGAATTTTTATGCTATTTTTTGGTTGACCCAAATTGGGAAATTGCGACCTTGGGAAAACCGCATTCAACATAGAACTTTTGACTGTAGCTAACACCCTGATGCCAGCACTCTCCCCTTGACAAATAAAATTGTCAGGTGTTAGACAGAAATTTGGCACTGATTTGTTTATCTTGCTCAAACTGTTTTTCTGTTTTCCCTGACTGTTCACGATGGCGGGGTTCAACTGCAACCTGGTATTTTTGGAGGCAAATAATTAGAATGGAAAGAGGTGGTTCAATTCGCTTGCCCCTTGTCAATTGTTCTGAAGTATCGATGCCCTTCATTAGCTGAAGTAACCCAAACAACTTGCTGTAATTTTAATATTTTTTTTACCTGTTAAATCTGATGGCACAAGGTATTTCTTTTTATCCAAATTTCCAATTCTGGCCTTGGGTGCTTTTTCACAAATTACCTTAGGTATATAAAGTAGATAAACTTTCAATGTGTATGCAGTTTCCAGGAGGGTTATGCTACTCATTTGTTGTTATTTAATTAAATCGAAACCATAAAAGAGAAAATTTGGTATAAATTGTAAATTTGTAATACCCTATGAATAATAATACGTCTAATAGAAATTTTTATCTCTAATCTCAAATATATACAATGTTAACTAGACTTGTACACTACATATATACAATATTTAACACGATTCAGTCGGTGAAATTTAAAACTATCAACAAATATTACAAATTGTTGACAATTTTCGAAGTTGTGCAATCCTATACTCACAGGCACTCTGTCGGGGTATTTTGTGCGGATTTTCTCGCCCTCTGCCCGTCGCTTTTCGAAAGCATGCTCCTCCTTATATTCCCACTTCATAGCCCAAAGCAAAAATAAGTCCTTCTCGCTTAAAACTCCACAATCCTAGTTCGTTTTAAAACAAGACGTCCCAATTACGACTCAATTTCTTTCTTCCTTCTTGGAACGACATTCAGTTTGTGATGACGTCATGTGACGGTGACAACGCTAGCTTCCACTTTTAACTATGAAGTTTCAAAAATGGGCAATTCCAGCTATATAAAATTTAAATTTTGATCTAGGCAAGAACAAGTGAATTCAAGTGAACAACAAAGTCCATCACCACAGCTAGAAAGAGCATGTTAAAATTAGTAGAATTGCAAAGTTTTGATGGACTTTTTTATTCTTGCCTAGATCAAAATTTAGTCTAAAAAAATAAATAGCTGGAAACATCCAAACAGAGAAATTTGAAACGATAAAGTGGAAACATCTCATTTCTTTGTGCGATTCTGGAGCACATGTTGCAGTTAATTAATCAACTAAAAATTGTTGCTTATAATTAAGCATAGCAATTTTCTTGCCCTTCTGGTATTTTTCTGCAAAGTGTTTTAGACCAGCTGCATAGGGTAACGATACTCTTCAGTGGAAAAATATAGGCCAGGTTAGTGCCTAGTGGATCATTTCTGCATCTTCACTATTTTGAGCTCAATAGCTACCTGGAGTTTAAGTTTATCTACGACAACCAATAAAATCAGACAAACAGATTAAATCACAAAAGTTTATCAACTCAAGAAAAATCAATGAAATTACAAATTATTCCCTAAGTTACAGGCTTACAACAACGCATGGAATGGACAAATCACACTGTCGTACACATATGTTTAATTTTACTAACAGTGGCAGACACTTCGTTTGCAAACATACCCCCACATTTTTTAGTTCGGTTTTTTACTCAAATCTATTCCACGTTTGCTGAACGAAACTCGATGGCTGCAAAAGTCTTATTTAAAGTCTTCAAATTACAAAGGATCCCACACATTCCAATACATGTACTTTCACCTTCCGAAACAATCGCCAATATTGGAATCTATTACGACCAGTACTGCTACATCTTGTCTGCAATAATGGTAATATACCCAAACGAAGTGAAACTCTAAAGGTTTCACTTCCCTAATTATTGAACTACTTAGCAATACAATGTTGTACGCTGTTGATGGTAATCATACATTTCCATCATCTAAACGTAACTACAACATCTAAATCTAAAAACAATCAAGATGATCTCTTATGTAGTTGATGGTAGCATACAAATTTCCATCTTCCAGATAATCGCTGATCATTGAAGCTGTAAACATTTAGCAATATATATAAAGCTACTAAGATACGATCAATACTGCAACTATGTAATCTTTTATGCGGTTGATGGACCCAAAGATCGAACTCGAAAAGGTCTAAAAACCTTGTCTAAATATTGAACTACTTTAGCTTAGATACCATAGTATAGCTAATATACAATGAATATTATTAAAATACAATCGTCTATATAAGACGTGTAGATATATAATCATGGCACCACTTCTCATCTCTTCACTCGCTGTTGGTTTCGTCCAGGGTATAGTTGCACAATGGTTTGTGTCCCTCTACCTCCCACGCATGCGTCTGACATTCACGTGAACAATACATTTCTGGACATTTTGCACACCGCTTTAATTTCATTCCCACTCCCTCCATACACGTGCCGCAACGACGTAATGACTCGATCCCAAACTCCTTCCGGTACGCCGTCAAAATCTGGAAAAAAATAGCATCTAAAATATCTGTATAATATATGAATTGTTAAAATTCAACATACCGACTTTATATTTTATAAAATAAATAATATTAATGTACGAATTAATACGTTTCATTATCAATGGAAACATTTTCATTGGTGTAGTAAGGTTGTATTTGGAGGATAATAAACAGAATTGGATGATGTATCATCAATATATATAATCAGCTTCTTACCTCCCGGAAAAATGATCTTACATTCGAAGCAGCGGAGCTGTACCGTAAACAAAACGAGATATCATTTAGGGCGCGCCGATAATCTTTCAATTCCGAGAACGCTCGAGCACGACGATAAACTGTCTTGAATAAGATTTTCTTCGCTTCCTCATGGTCTGAAAAAACAAAGATCTAACCGTCAGTGTTCATTTTATTTGATATTTACAGTTCACTATACTCAGTTTATGGTTTATTCTAATTGATATTTTAATACTTAATCCATTAGGTGTTCTTCATCTGCATGAAAGGGAGTCCCTACCTTCGTAACTTCTTATAATGGCCTGTGTACAGTCATCAATTGCTTCTTGCCACTTGTTCATTAACAGGTAACACTGAGCTCGGTTCGTGAACAACACCGATGGCAAAACATACCTAAAAGCCAAATTTTATAAATTAGTTTTCCGCTGCTTATCCCCCTCCCAAAAAAAAACTAAGGTTAACTGCTAAATTCATTCAATAGCCACATAGTCATAGCTCATTCGATAAACATATTCAGTTATTTTTATTTCACACTGTATGCATAATAATAATAATGGTAACAAAGGTGTTGTAATTTCATCTGTGATATCGTGTTTATATACACCGGTTCTCGGTATATATAAACATGATCAATTGATCAAGTGCGTAAGAGTTCTGTAATCTATTAATTATCACTAATTAGTAATGAATATCTCAGCAACATACCATGGTTTAAAATTCGAATCATGGGAATAAGACATGTTTAAGGAGAAGTGTTCGACAGGTGGCACACTGTCCAAACCTAAACTATAACATTTGAGTGCAGACTCGTATTCTTCAGCCTTGAATCGCGAATTTCCTTCTTCTTTGAATTTCTGAGCTCGTTCTAAACTGTATTTCTGAGGCAACAAAACTTCCTGAAAGATCCGCTCGCTTATTTTCCACTCTCTATAGAAAAAAGGATGGTAGAATTAATGCACAAACTATAACGAAACTTTTGGAGGTTAAAATCGTAAATAACTCTTGAACAGACAAGAGCTCATTAGGACTCATCAACTGTGGCACTAGAAAAAATATCAACTGTCCATTAGACAAGCGATGAAAACTTCTAAGAAATAAGAGACACAAATGAACCCAGAGATCCAATTTAGAAAACTGTGTACGAAGAGTAACATCCAAACTTTCATTTCTTAACCTTCAAAATTATGGCCTGCAATTTTAGGCACTTCAGTTTTAAAATTGCCAACATTTTCCCATATTACATAAATTTTCTTACTCAGTACAAAATTGCTCCATCTCTGTCTTCAAAGTCTTGATCAGTCCATTTGTTGGAAGCTAGAGAAGATGTTTCATTGAGTTTATTTTGAGATAATAGTACTGATTTATAGTTTATTAAAACATAAACACACCGAATTATATTCTGTAAGAAGATACAGCTTCTCTGCAGTAACTCCCATGTCAAGAATATGTTTTGCACCAGCTGTACTCTGGACAAAGGAAACAAGGGTCTGGAGAGCCCAAATTTGAACCTAAAAGACAACAAGCATAACTGTTAGTATATCTAAGACAACAGATATTGTTATGAATCAAACAATTAAGAACAGTCATAGAAAATTCTTACCTGAATATCAAATGACTGTATATAGACTGGTAGAAGCTTGGAATAAAGCTAAAAAAATTTGAGAAATTTTGTTTAATCATTTTATGTCAATTACTTACATCAGTGACCCTATGACAAATTAGACCTACCACTTACATAGAGCCTAAAGTTTGTAGAAGATTTTAAAAAGTTCCAAGAACAACACAGTTCCAAAAATTTATATTTATATAGCATTAACCTACCGGAGATGCAATAAACTTTTTCCTCAAGGTAGGATACTGCATTGAGAGTTCTGACAACAGACTTAGAACGCTGGATACAACCTCCTGGTCAGGGTTATACACTACAAAACAGAGGGAAAAGTTAGGTATTAAGACCTTCTTGCCTTTTCACAGCTCTCCCTTTTGCAACAAAAAAAGCCAATACAAATAGCACCTACTGTAGTTACATCAATAAAAAAGGGACATTTTCTTCACATAGCACTTTATTAAAGGTACAACATAAGGCACTGCTACTAAAAGAGATGTCACTAGATTTTACAGTACAATCCATTCCGAAAGAGAGCCTTACTATGTTGCTTAAGTAAATCCAAGACATCATAATTCTTTAGGAATTCATCAACTGTCAAAGCTGGTTTCTCGTCATTGAGAACACCTCTCAGCAGGTGAAAACAGCCTTGCAGCATTGTCCGTTCTGATCTCCATATGCATGGAGTTGAAAACCATTTGTTCAAAACCTGAAAACACGGAGAAACAGAGAAATTAGATCCATAAAAGGTTCGGTGAGATGTGGAATAATGTCAAAGGAAAACAGCTTGCAAAGAAGAACACTGAATGGTTTCAGAATGGGTCATTCCAGAAAAGATCCACACTCCCCCCATGGAGGAAATTTCTGCCATCCAGAGGGGGAGGGGAGAAAAAATGTTTCTGATAATAGTAAGTGTATTAATTAGGACATCCGAAGGGGGCAGGGGTTTACATCCAATTTCCTATGTGGGAGAGGTACTGTATGGATGTTTTCTGGAATGACCCAATTTTAACAGATGATGGCTTGCAAAAAAATTGAGCGTAGGATTCAACAGTACCTTAATAAAAGGCTTCAATTTCAGGATCTCTGGTTTTGAAATTCTAGGATTAGACACTATCTAATGTTATAAAAGAAAATACATACACATCAAGCAATTAAATATAGTATACATCGAACAACCCTTTAAAACAGTACAGGCACCATACCATCAGGCCTGTGACATTGGCCATATTACTACAGCCAAAACAGGAAATACATGGCAAAATAAACCAAATACCACATGTGATTTGTGATGTTTTTATATTTAGAAACACTCCACTCCCAAAATGTAAAATCTTAATAGCTATTAAGACACTGCATAGCATAAATATGGATCATTTCTTACTATCCAAATCTCATTCGTAACCTTCATTGTAACCCTTAATGAAATGAGATTTACCAACTATCTAAAGACAATGTAGCATCAAGGAGTTTCCCCAAATATGACAATCCCATAAGTTAATCACAATATGTATTGTTAAAATCACAAGCGTGCAGCAAGCACTTACAGGCACATTTTCAATTTTTGCAGGCGCTTTTTTAAATTCTTACCATTATTTATGTTATGAAATTTTGTAGGCACATTTTGGATTTTGCTCGCAGGCATAAAAGAACATTAATAAGCCTTGATCACCAAGACAAATTTACAATCAATGTAACAGACAACAACTTAAATTAACACACAGAGATTTCCAAGTGTGTGGAAAATCACAATTATAAATATTGGATAGTGAATTTTTTATAATAAATAAAATTCGCCTTTTTCACTCACCTCAAACACAATTAATGCACAATTTTCTTGTAACTCCGCAGACATATATGTAAAACAGTCTCTCCTATGATCACACCCTGTAAGCTGTGGGTAACGGTCAGTTTTTTTAAGTACAAGTCTCTTACCAAGGTAAAACTTATCTAAAATTTCAACCTCCTCATTAGGCATGGACAATTTTGATGAGAAGTTCTCCTTCAAATAGTCTGCAAACATCTTGTCTGCTTCTTTTCTCATCATGAAATGCAGGCATCTTCGAAGACCGTCAGCTTTGTATATCCGAATGCACATATCTCGTTTGTCCTTTGCTAAATGTTTCAAGACTTCTGAAGTTTGAAATATCATTAAAGGGTCATTGTTCACTGGATCTAGAAATTCCACTAGTCTTGGTATGCCGTGGTATGCTCTGATAATTTTTATGTTTCTCACACGCTCCAAAGGACTTTCAATGTATCGTTTGTCTGTGATATGTGCCAGAGTGTTAATACAGTGATAATATAAATATTTACTAAAAAGTTCTTGCCCATTCGATTTTGCAGGTTTTAACGTGACCAGACGGATGATAAGTTTCACAATATTGCAGTCAGATAAAAAATTTAAAAGCACTCTTCTTTCATTATGACCCGCCTGAAAATAGTGAATTATAAAAAATAGTGAATTATAAAATAGTACTAAGATTTTAAAAAGTAGTTAATTATAAAATAGTAAATTTACAATTGTAGTTCAAGGAACTTGGCACATCATGAGCTAACATAACTACCTTAATATTTATACTTAATTTTGTGCAAATTTGAAAAAATACAGTCACCTGACTAAAAACCTCACAAAATTTACACACACAAAATTAAATACCTTAGTCAAAAATTTACTGGACAAGAGACTAAACCACAATTTTCAACTATTTTTTTGAAGTTGTGACAGCATCTCCCCCCTTTTTAAGGTTTTTGGACCCCCCCCAGAAAAAAAAATTATAAATATGCGTGCAATAAAGTGCAAATAGGTGCTCTTTGTTTTGATGCTTTCAATCTATTTTGTTTTATTTGTCTTTAAATTTTCTCGTTAGAGTAAAGACCACTATTTAAAACACAATAATTCACTATTTCACTACAAAATCCTTACCACTGTTTGACAATTTAACTCGTCAACCCACAAGGAAAAAATGGACAAGACAGTTAATTGTGTCTCCTTCAAAGTAGTGTCCCTGCCCAGGGCTAATTCGACCGCTTCAACCGGGCTATCCCCGCCTCCCAAAAACTCAAACAGCTTTTTAAAGTATTTTGATTTCTTTTTGTCTCCAGAATTGGCCATAACTTTCTCAATATCCTCGCGCGAGTTTACAGGTACGAAGTTTTCTTCGACATCCATAACATTCGACATGTCTTTTCCGCCCCGCTTGCCAGCTTTGCCGTGCGATGTACGATATAAAACTGCCATTATCCGGGCAAACGTCGAACCAAATTTACCCCAAAACGATAGCGAAGTGTTGTATCGATGTTGTTACAAGTAATTCATTGAAAATAACAAGATTTAAAGGCATTTAATACTTGGATATTCTCCAAGTGCAATCAACATTTTATTAAAACAACACGTATAGAAAATACATCATATTTTTCAACGCGCATTGCACCGTGGGATACATTCCTGCGAACCTGCGAACAGGCAGGTGGCAATTCTAAATATTGCTGACTGGACAAAAAAAACTCAAACATGGCGTCGTCAACAACAATGAGTCCGGTTTTAAACAATTTCAATTTAAAGCACGAAAACCTGCAACTGTCTCTTGTTTTTTGCCATATTTGTACAAGCTACTCTTGAATTTATACTTAGGCAGCAGTTTTTGGCATGACCAAGGGCAACAAAGGGAAAAATAAGGCGAATTCCAATGCCAAATCTAAAGACCATATCGAAAGGAAACGAGACGAAAGAGCGAGAAGGAATGCATTGAGAAAAGAACGAGAAGCTAAAGAGTATCTCGAAAATGATGAGAATTTTGTCGCGTTTTCTAACCAGCTCGAAGCCTTGGGATATAAAATTAAGGATATCAAAGGAGATGGGTTAGATTATATGAGTTTTATTGTAAACATTTGTAATGCATTTGAATATAAACGATACAATCGTTTTTATTGAATTTTATATCATTTGTAGATTTGTAGCTGAACAATAAATAGCCGATTGTAATCTGTTTTGTTAGGTGTTAAGCAGATGAAGAACTCTTCTAAACATTTCTGATCTGTAAATGTACACAATACTACACACATGAAAAGCATACCATTTTTGAGATTTTACATCCTGAATCCTGTGCTCAAATTTCCGTAAATTTGCCTCATCCCACGTCTTGTGACTTCTTGAAATCGTATATCCGGCCATTTTTCTTCCTATTATACCATTCCTGGAATTTTATACCATTCCTGGAATTTACGTATATATTCAAAACCATTCAGCACCTGTTGTGAACACTCTATATCTTTCCTTCTTTGCAGTAACTGCCTGTTCCGAGCTCTCGCGGATCAGTTGGACGGAACTGACGATGGACATTTGAGATATCGAAGAATCATAGCAAAATATTTAGCTGATCATAGAGAGGAGTTTGAACCTTTTGTGGAAGACAATAAATCATTTGATGAACATGGTACAAAATAATTTGGTGAATGATAAATACCTGTTTGGATTAGAGATTGTATTTGAAGTTTCTATAGTATTGCTCTCTGAAAGTTTTGTTATAGTGTTATATGTCTTATGATCTAATATTTGCACATATCACTCATTTTTAGTCAAAGAACTCGGTAAGGCAGGAACATTTGGTGGCAATGATTCTATAGTCGCTTTCTCACGATGTTATGGCGTGAACGTCGTTATACATCAACTCAATGAACGATGTTGGGTTATCCAAGGTGAAGTGTACAGGAAAACTGGAGATCCTTTCCGAGAACTTCATATTTCATATCATAATGGTGACCATTATTCCTCAGTTCGTAGAATTGGTGATCCTGACGATGGTCCTGCATGGTTGTTTAATAACCAGCATAAGGTGTTAATACTTTATAACGAAAAAATGTATTTTAAAGTTATACCTAAAAAGACGACGATATACCCAAACCTGTATTATTAAATCATATTGATTTGTTTTTATTGATTTATTGGTAAGCTATTCTCACATTTTCACAATCTTGTCATTTCCGTGAGTAATTTTGAATACATACATCATTCGGTCATTAAATACTTGCGGTGCTCTGGCATGTCATAACAATGTAGATAACTTGGTATTAAACACTAAAACGATTAAACTACATTTATTATATTGGAGAAAAAGTACACGTCCTACAGCACCTTCTGCAATGCTTTTATTTTCTCATACCAGGACAAAAAAGAAACAGTTCAATACGAAGATAAAACTAAAAATGCCAAGAAGTCAAAAACAAAGAAGACAGCAGTTTTGGACGAGGCTATTGCTTCAGAAGAATCGAGCGACATTGCCATCATACAAGCAGCCACTGGTTGCCAGGTGGTAGCTAAAACTACTTGAATTAGAACTGAAAAAATTGGTAGTAGAACTTAAATGACCAGTATTAGAACTGCATGAAGGAACGGAAAAGGCATAGAAATATCAGTTTTTTTATTGTTTTAGGATTTGGAGTTAATTCAACAAACCTTACTAGAGAGTAACAATGATCTTGATGGCACAATAAGTTACATTTTACAACTGCAATCGCTTGGTACCATGGAAGGTATAAAGTCAGATTGATACACAAACATGACCGGAAGGTGGAATCCAATATGTATAGCCAATATCCTTCGTTACAGTAACTTTATAATAAAATGTATCAGAAAGTATCACTGAATGCGCCATTGTATAAAAATAATTTATTTCCCTTTTAAGAGTCAACCGACGACTTCAGTTCGAGAGCAAATTTTGAAGATGAGGTAAATAATCGGACTACCAATTTTGTGGATGAGCAGGATGAAACTATATCTGATTTGAACGAGGACGAAAAAGGAGCAATCTCGACTGACTGTCAGGCTCAAAACCCTAAAGCTGATGAAGATCTTTTCGCGAAAATATCCCAAGGACAAGGCGGTGCTATACCAAAGACGAAACAACAGGTAAAATGGGACTTCTTCATTTAAAATGGTAATTATTTAACCGATCATCTCAAAGATCAATAAAATGACCGGGATTTAAGTAACATAATCGTGCTAATTGATATATATGAACATTGTAACGAACCAATCAATATTGGAACTAAGCTAACATACTGCATGTAAAATAATTTTTAATATTTTAATTATACCAACCATCTAACGATTAACTGACAAAACTTATTGTTGTATTCTTAAAACAATTGTAGACTCCCAACAGCCGGAAACGAAAGCATATTGCAAAACAAGAAAAGAAAGCAAGAAGAATGGAAGAACGACGTCAAGAGATTAAAAAGAAAGAAAAAGAAAGTGAACTTTCAGAAAAACAAAATGTAGAAACTAACAATAGTACTAACATGCCAGATTTTTTAGATCTAGAGGCACTGGCTATATGAAATAATTTATTTGGGAACATTTTCATAACAATTAATGCAAGAAATAAATGTACTGTACATATTATTAAGAGTCTATTGTCTATATTAAGAGTCTATATTAAGTGTCTACTGTACTTATTAGGAGTCTAATGTCGACAAACTGATTGGTACTGAATCTTTCACTGCGATTGAAATATTACAATGTAATCTTCCATCTTTACTTTTCACTTATGCTGGAGTATATTTGAAAGTAATATCTGCTCGGGCAGTGCCAATAGCATAGATAACAATTTGGTTGCCTTCATCTGGATAAACTGGACCTAAAATGGAAAATAATTAGTGATTTATACAGAGCCTGAAATAATTTTAAAATTTGTCCGGAAAAACTTCCGATCAAAACGAAATTTGACCGGAAATTTGCAAAATTGACCGGAATTTTTTTTAGTTTAGTTTGACCAAGTTATAGTGAATAATAATTTAATCACGCCCGCCGACACTGTTTTTATCTTGACCCGACAACACCACGCTGTAAACCACCATCTTGTTTATTGGGCTCGTGAACTATACTTTCCAGTTGATTACTTTATATTAGCCTAATATAGATAATCCAAACTTACAGATGGTACTCACTGTGCTGAGCGCCGACCCGATCATTAAGAAAACATTTTTCTTTTTCTCAAAATTTGGCCGGACAAAATTTCCGATCATTTCAGCATTTGATCGGAAAAATCGGAATTTGGTCGGAAAACCGCCGGCCGCCGCGGCCGTTATTTCAGGCTCTGTTTATATCATCAAATATACAGAATACAACTGAACTTCATAAACTGCTATCATCACTAGAAATTTGATTGTGAAACTCATTAATAATTCATGTGAAGAAATCATGAGTGTGAAGGAGTTTGTATATCTGATACAGAACAATTTTCTCACCAAATATCAATGAAGAATACGAACGTTCTCATCAAGACATTTCACAAGCCATTTACTTCAGCTCAAGTTTGTATATCCGATACAACACGGCCGCTTATGTTGTATGCCCAATTAGCAGTGTCTAAACTGCTGTCCCTAAAAGTCCACACCTTATTGGTCTAAAACTACAAGAGGAAACCGGAGTACCCGAAAAACCTCTCTGGTCCGTTGGTAGATTCAAACTGAAAGCAAATGCGACCGAGGCGAGATACTAATAAAAATTTCTTCTATGTATGAGTATTTTCTTACCTTCTATCGTGATATCATAATTACTGTGATAAGTCACAGCAACTCCTTTCACATTACTTGAGTAATAATAACCATAAGAAGTACTAGAACGGTAACCAACCACTAAAATTATTGGAATATACTATGAGTATATCTAATGCTGCACTATCAGCTATCGTGCTGTGGGTCGTGGCGAACCACTAGTTTTTTATTATTATTATTGTCTTTATTAGGGTCCACTACAGTATATGTACAAAGTCTAATTATATCGTCAATTATTCGGAGACCCTAAATGGGCGAGGCGCAAACGGGACTCGAAGAACCATGCAAGGCACCTGCCCAAAATAATGTTTATAATGTTAATTATCGATTGTATGCGGTATCCTTGAGTTCGAATACAAAAAAATAGGGCGTTGTAGTTCCTGCTCGTATAAATGTCAAGTAGACCGCTATTTACTGCCTTCTTGTATATATATATATATATATATATATATATATATATATATATATATATATATATATATATATATATATATATATATATTTATATATATATATATATATATATTTAATTATTTAAATAAAGTACAAAACAAACGTTGTTACTCAGAGTTTCATGCCTGAGTTTACAGACAATCTTCGGACAACTAAAGTTCTGTTAACTAAATTTGACGGTTTGGTTTTGTTTGCTTGCGCGTGCATGATTGCGCACGTTGTTTGATTGCACGCGAATGTATTTTCCCGCCAGAAATTGTTTTTGGTGGACGCAATTCGAGAATATTTCACTTCTTTTGTTGAACAGCGAGTTCTTTTTAAATTTCATGATGAAAAGTTTTTCGTCGCTACACAAATTGCACTGATTACGTCCCGATCCGTATGCACTCGAATGTTTTAAAATTGTCCATTTAATTTTGTATGGGCGATTGCTTTTCTTCAAACTCCATATGTACTTAGACAGTTCAGTGTCGTTAGCATACGTAGCGATGTTGAATGATTTCTGGTGGTTCCTAAAACGCTCCTTGAAGGTTGTAGCCGTAATTCCAATATAGTGCCTTGTTTCTCCGTTGTCCTCCGCTGCGATCTTTGCATGGTAGACAATGCCTTTGGTTAA